ATGATGCTTCTTTCGAAGGTTATGACCATTTTACTGATTTTTCGGCCTATGGCAAGGTATTTACAAAAAATTCGAATAATGAATTCTAACTTGAAGTTTTGCCCATACGTAGCTCTCATGGTCCTTAATGTATGCTAAAAGTTTCAGCAAAAATAAATGTCCCATTGCCGAGATAATGAATTTGCAATAAGTGTCTGCATTTTATAGAGGACTCAGAAAAATCGAGTTTTCTTCGACATTCATTATCTCGACAATGGGACATTTATTTTTGCTAAAACTTTTAGCATACATTAAGAATCATGAGAGCTACATATGGGCAAAATTTCAAGTTAGAATTTCATCATTCGAATTTTTTGTAAATACCTTGCCATAGGCCGAAAAATCAGTAAAATGGCTATAACCTTCGAAAGAAGCACCATGGGCTCAAATCCTCTTAGGCTTTTTGTTAGCATACTGACTCCTACATATAGGCAAAATATGAGCAAAATCGACGTGAATCAATTGGAACGGTTCCTTCGTAAGTCAAAGTTTATACGGACTTTGTGTCCTGAAAATGAACTATCTTTTTCAAATTACACATGTATATGTTTGTAGAGCTTGAAAAGTTGCATAGGTTAAAATTCTTTAAAAAATTGATGTTCTCTAAAGTGTTTAAAACCTTCGCTGAAAAAAGGCAAATATCTTGCTTTTGTTTTGAACGATAGTTCCATTTCATATTGAATATGAGTCAAAATAACCAATTGATTTTCAGAAAGCCTAGAGTCCACAGTCTTCCTCTTCGAACTTTGAATTTGTTCTCCTTTTTTTTTATTTGCCATAATGAAAGTTATAGATTTTTAATTTGCTTTTTAAACTGACATTTCGTGCGTAGAACTAAATATTAAGCTTTATTTTCAACTACATATCTACTTCTATCTGTGAGTAACAAATTAGGCCTTCAGCATAGTGTTCGAATACGAAATAGTTTGACTTTTCTTTGCACACTTATGCAACGCAGATTGTTCTAGGTCGAAATTCACCAAAGTCTGTCAATGCATTAATTGTTGTCGACGTTCAAAACTGTTTTATCACTGGAAATCTTGCATTGTCCAAGGCTCCTGCTGGTCAAGATGGTGCTAAAGTCGTCCCTATTATCAATGATTTAATCCGGAGCGTTTCATTTGATGTTATCGTGTATACACATGACTGGCATCCTCCAAATCACATCTCATTTTTTGATAACCTAAATTCGCGTAGAAAGCATTTAAAAGGTAATAAAACTCGAACGATAAACATGTACGACGAAGTCACATACACTGGACCCAAAGTCGAAACGAAACAAATCCTATGGCCATCACATTGCATTCAAGATACCGAAGATGCAGCCCTATACAGAGATCTTTATGTTCCTTCAACGAGTGACAATGTTATTCATATTAATAAAGGTACTGATCCTGATATCGACAGTTACTCGGCATTTTCAGATAATAATCGAATTAAAAAAACCGAGCTCGATAGAAAGCTTCGAGAACGTAATGTTACACACGTCTTTATCGCTGGTTTGGCAACAGATTACTGTGTCGGAGGAACTGCACTCGACGCATTCGACTTGAATTATACAACGTATCTTATCGAAGATGCAAGTGGGGTTATCGCTTTCGATGTAGCAAAAGCAAAATTAGACCATTTAAAACAACAAGGCATCGAAATTATTCAAGCGAATCAAGTCAAAGCATTGTTTTCCAGTGCTAGTGACAAATCTTTGAATTCTATATTAATTGTTTCTATCAACTTATTCGTCCTAATTTTATTATAAACTTTGAATTGGAGAGGATACCTTTCGATTTCCCTAAGATAAGACATAGAACCACAACACATATTTTTTTGTACGGGTATTGTGAATTAATAAAAGCAGCATACATCTAATTCCTTCACACAAAGTCGGTTGTTCTTGCTTGATATTCTAAACTGCACAATATTACTTTTCTCAAAAAATCCGAGAAAGGGTACTTTGCTTGTTTGTTCCCTCAACTGTAGAGAGAGTCATATGAAAAAAACTAAAATGCGTTTGTCTGTCTGTCTGTTTGTGGCAGGTCAAAAAAACATTTTTTTGTCAAAAATTCTTTTTTCGAAAATTTTTTTTAATGTAGACACAGAGTTTTTTGAGAAAACTGCACTAATATTTTCTGAATGAAGTATTTCGATAAGACTCAGATTTTTCAGCTGCAGAATGAAATTGAAGAAATCAGAAATAGTTCACAACGAAGCTTTGGTTTAGAAATCCCCGTCGAGAATTCTCATGCTATAGATCTAATGGTTTTTCGAATTAAGCCGAATTTGGGATTAGATAAAGTGTAAATAAAAAAAGATGGTGCTGTGGAGAAATAGAACGAAACATAGCAGCGGCTAGTCGTGAGTGGTGCCCCGGAGGGAAGCCGACGAACGCTTAGCCGCTGCACTAGAAAGTCCCTTAAAGAAATGCTTCAAGCTGCTGGTATTGATCAAATAGATATCAAGAGTCTAGGTCATACGAGTTTGAATAAGGAGTAGCAGTTGCTAAGAACTGAGAAATATTTTGAAATAAAGTGTGAGAACGGCTTTTCTGCCCGTATGGTATATTTGAATAGTACATTTGAGGGAAAACATTATTTATAGAATTTATATTCGTTCTATCAGAATGCTATTTGAATGAAAAAAAGGGGTGGGTGTGGGTGTGGGTGTGGGTGGGTGTGGGGTGTGGGTGTGGAATGTGGGTGTGGGTGTGCGTGTAAATGAATGGAAGATTCACACCCACACCCACACCCACATCCACCCACACCCACACCCACACCCACCCCC